GACCTGGGTTGGATTCCCTGGGACCCACATGAGGGAAGGAGAGAATTGTCTCCTGTTTCAAAACGCAAGTAGTAAAGGTTTAACTAAGTAACTTATTGTAGCTTTGCTTTACACATGTTTAACATTTTGGCTTTTGGGCTCTTTAGTAATAGCATTTTGTTTCTAACATATATACATCCATCCCACCCAGAAGAATGGAGACGAATGATTGCAATCCCTCCCCCATCTATTCCTGACTCTTCATCTGCTGTTCATGTATGTGCTCACCTCATTCACACACAGGCCTCTGTGAAGCTCACCTGGGAAACGGGGCCAGAGGAGGGTAACTGAGACACTTTAATGACCCTGCTCACACCCACGTTTCCCCTTCATTCAGATTCCCAGTCTCTCACTAGACCATGCAAGGCAAGCAAGATCCTTTGTAACATTTGGATAAATGATTTTGTTCTCTTGGAAACCAAACCCAGGGCCTCCCCGCAAGCACTCTGCCATTTGCCTAAACCTCAACCACTATAAATTTCTTTAAAGTTTTAAAAGAAATCTTTAAAAAATCTTTTCAGATAACTTTCCTGTTATCTTCATGAGGTAGGTATGCAGAGAGCATATTTAGAAGTGCTTATACACTTGGCAAAGAGTCTGCTTAGAACGATTACATAGGATACCAACCACCAAGGAAACGGAAAACAGTGAAAAAACATTGAAGGAATTAATCTGGCACCAAACAAATAACTACAACGACAAAAAAAGAAAAAAGAAAAAAAAAAAGAAAGAAAAAGGAAAAAGGAATGTTACTATTGAATAAGACCAAAAGGAGAATAAAATTTATTGAGTCCAATTTCTTAAAGCTACTGCAATTCCATTTAAAAGTCAGACTAGAAATTGCGAAACATCTTAAAATAGGCTTAAAATGATATACAGGAAATCAGGTTTTAATGCCCAATACTGGAAAAGAAAACACTTGGTGCCTCTGACTGTGTCTAACACAGAGATGGCATAATCTGAACATTCTGTAAGCTTTTAAGTGATAGAGAGTTTGGAATGGGAATAAATGAATGTGGCACACAGTGCAGAGCAGAGAAATGCAAATTCCGTTTTCTGCCCCTCAGCCATCCTCCTCCTGCTCCCCTAAAACACATCTGCACTTTCAGTGATTTCCCTGGGCTTGTTAATTAATTCTAACTAAGAAACAATAATCTCTTGAACAACTCATGTCTAACAGCTTAGTGGCTCATTCCTCAAAAGTCCAGTCAAAGCAATATTTTCAAGCCAGGATGGTTCACGGAAGAACAAAGTGCACATAGCTACAACACAGCACCTGGGAGGTGTGGCAGGGGGACCAGAAGGCAGGAGGCTGTTCCTGACCAGCTGTGAATGCACAGTGAGATGGAGACCAATGAGGACTCCATGAAATCACGTCTCAAAAAAAAAAAAAACAAATTGTTTTAAATCTCATCTAGGAGCTAGAGATTCAGCAGTTAAGAACACTAGCTGGCCGGGTGGTGTTGGTGCACACCTTTAATCCCAGCACTTGGGAGGCAGAGGCAGGCGGATCTCTGTGAGTTCGAGACCAGCCTGGTCTACAAGAGCTAGTTCCAGGACAGCCTCCAAAGCCACAGAGAAACCCTGCCTCGAGAAAAAGAAAAAAAAAAATCAAAACAACACTACCTGTTATTCCTTCCCGAGCACCCAGTTTCAATTCCCAGCACTCACTTGGTGGCCTACAACCACCTATAACCTGACGTCTTCTTCTGGCCTCCTAGAGCACCAGGTACATCATGTGATGTATGTACATCTATGCAGGCAAAAACTCATATACATAAAATAAAAATGATTTTTAAAAACAGTTCTAGCGTTCTGTGTATGTGTACAGATGTGGGATGTGTGTGGGTATGCACATGTGGAGGCCATAAGGCATCTATCACTAGTCACCCTCTTTCTTGAGACAGTGTCTCTCACTGATCCCCAAGCTCACCGATTGGCTGGTCTGGCTGGCTCGTGAGCCCCTAGGATCCTGATGTCTCTGTCTCCCAGTGCTTTGAGTGCACAGGCCATAAGACAGAGCCTGGCTTGCTCACACCAGTGGGTGCTGGAGATTTGAGCTCAGGTCATTATGCTTGCACAGCAAGCATTTACCAATTGACCCGTCTCCCCAGCCTCCTACGTGTGTTTTGTTTGTCTGTTCACTGTTTTGCGACCTCTCATTTAGCCCAGGCTGGCCTTAAACTCACTATGTAGTGGAGGATGACCTGATCTTCTGATCTTCCTGCCTCTGCCCCCTGGTGCTGGGCTCACAGGCATGTGTCACCATGCTCAATTTATGTGGTGCTGAGGATGAAGTGCGGGGCTTCATGAGCGTTAGACAAGCACTCTGCCAACCTAACCACATCCAAAATCCCTACATGATTTTTTAAAAGGCTCTTCAATCAATTTATACTAGGAACTTCCAAGTTTGGCTGTGGTGGTGACAAATGCCTATAATCGAAACAATTGGGCCGGTAATGCAGGAGAACAGCACTGAACTCCAGGCCAGCCCAGCTACATATCATGTGACGCTGTTGTCAAAATTAACAGCCTGGTACTGCACACCTGCAAACCATCATTCGGGAGGTGGAGGCATGGGGATCTGGAGTTCAAGGTCATCCTTAGATACATGCAATTTCAAGGTCAGCATGGCCAATATAAGAAATGTCTAAAAATAAAAACAGAAGTTCTGTCAGTTAAGCCCTTTTTCAATTTCCAGAAGAAATGAAAAGATATAAAATTAAGAGCTCTATTTGGTATGTTGACAAATAGAAAAAAGACCTGGAGAGTAACAGGATAAATAATGCTTTGGTTTTTGTTTTTAAGCTGGGTACAGTAGCACATGCTATTATGTTAATTCTACTCTGAAAGCCGAAACAGGAGGATCTTGAGTTTGAGGGTAGCCTGGGATACAATAGCAAATTGAAGTTCAGCCTAGGTTATGTAGCAAGACCCTGCCTCAAAAAAAGCAGCAAAAAGATAAACAAACCATCAAAAAATTTTTAACCAGGCATGGTGGTACACAACTTTAATTCCAGAACTTGGGACACAGAGGGCAGCCTGGTCTATATAGTGAATTCCAGGCTAGCAGAGGCTACATAAGGAAACCTGTCTCAGAAGAAAAAAAAAAAAAACTTAAACCTGATGTTACAGGTTTGAATCTAAAAGGTTCTCCTTAAGCTCATGTAAACACTTGTTCCCTGGATATTGTCTATTGCTTAAAAACAATTTTCTTTTCGAAAAACTCACTTCAATTATATTTACAGGAGGAATTTTCACTCAAAAAAGTGAAATTTGGGGGCCATGGAACACTTAAGGGGTGGGGCTGGGTGGTAGAAGTAGGGCTGGCCTTTAAAGGTTATAGGTGGACCTGGTTCCCTGGTTCCAGGACAGTTCTCTGCTGCCTGTCTGTAATCTTGTGATGACCTGTCTGCAATCATATGATTGAAGGGTTGTCTAAGAGGCATTGCAAACATGGCACTGGCAGGTTTTACCTTCCCCCTTCCTTCTCCCATGCTAAACTGCTACATTCCTAAAGCTAGCCCTCCAGGTCTATTCCTCTACTGGGCCACTTCCTATGCCTGACTAAAACTCCAAGGTCCAGCTCTTAAAATTCATTATTTGCCTATCCTGACTAACCTGTCCAAACAGGACTCAACAACTCGGCCTAGCACAGACTTCCCTCTTTCTCCTTAAAAACCACTCCTGCAGAAAGCCCTGCTGTCTACTTTTGTTCCCTCCAGAGGCAGCACAGCCCACCCATCCCATCCTCTAGAGCAGTAAATCTCCTTTGTGCTGAGAACTTGGAGTCGGAATGTGTTCTCTGCCAACTCCGAGGCCCCTTACGGTGGTGACCTGCCTGCCACCCTACATTCTCGCTCTAAGGACAAAGCCATCCTGCCGCTCTTAGAAGGCCTTCCATGATGGACTGCAAGCACAAGCTACAATAGAGCATCCTGGTCACCACTTGTTTCTTTCAGGCCATTTGTCACAGCAGTAAGAAGTGACTAAAACACTTGCTGCCTTTTGCTGCCTTTGATATTGTACGTGTATTGCTAATGCCCACATTTCGTAGTAGCTAACCCTCTCTTCAGAGCATGCTGGCATTCGAAGAGTGGAAATGTTGGCTCATGTGATAAACTACTGCATTCATGAAAGTCCTACCTTCCCTGTCTGACTTCAACTCCCTGTGGCTTCCAGGACCCCAGAGGCCACTTTCCCTTCTACTCTGTGTCTCTGCCCACGGTGCCTCTCCTTCTACCGTGTTTTTTACCTCAACTCCACCAGGTGAAACCACACCCAGCCACAAAGCCTCAGCTCATGGCATGCTCCCAGATGATTTCTCCTCCTTTCTAAGACTGGAATTGTATTGAAGTATTTACTTTTCTGATCGAAGTTATATTTGTGACTGTCTTTCTCACTAAGTTATATATAGACAGTGGACAGTAAGGGCATAGGACTTAGTTGGTATTCAAGGCATGTCTAAGTTGAAATCATGATTTAAGTTTTTGCAAAGAACACATCAAATAGGTGTCACTTTATTACACAGAAACACAGGAGCTTGCAAAGCTGGCAGAACAGATGTTCTCTCTCCCTCCCTGTCTCTCATACATTCTCTCCCGCCTCCCTCACTCCCTCTTGCTCTCCTCCCTACATCTCTCTCCCTTGTTAAACACATAACGTAGGTTCTACTATTTTCTCCAACTTAGAGATGATGAAACTAGAATTCCTAAGACCGAGTTGACTGTCCCAAACCTGACAGCGAGCAAACTCTCTGTCTGTCCTCAGAGTTCAGTGATCTGCTACACTCTTTTGACTACCAGGACTCACACAGGTAGCAATGACTAATACACCATGGTGCAGGAACAGCTCCCTCAAACTTAGTGACAGATATATTGCCTGTTTTCAGCCATCCTAAAGTTCATCCAGATCAAATCTGACATTTATTACTGCAACACGAACATGGTGCACTCACTCACTCGCACAGTTCGCCTCCTGCCATGTGGTGTTGAAAAACTCTGAGACCATCACAACTATTTGCATTCTGTCTGCCATCAGGAGACTTCTGGCACAGTTCGGGCTCTCTGAGGAATTCTGCAACAACAACAAAAGAAAAAACAGGAGAAACAATCTGAGTGTTTAGACTTCCCAACAACCCCCAAAGCCATGAAACAATTAAAATACTTATTGTAAACCATTTAAGATTTTCTCTAAAATGAGCTGATAATAATAGCAGTAATAATAAACATGGCAGGTTTCTATCTAACATTTATGGCTGCCAGGTTCACGTGGGAAGGAAGAAACTCTGCTTAACTGCTGAGCTGTCCCCTCCAGGCCCGTTTTTGCTTTCTGAATATTGCTTCTGTAGTCAAGTTCAACTTCTTAATTTCACAATCCCGTATGCACGGGGAAATTGCAGAGTATGAAAACCAAATGTAGCAATGGTTATCTCTGGATGATGGAGCATGGCAAATTTCATTTTCACTTTTGCTTCTCTTCAACTGTCTAAACTTTTTCTACAGTAAATGTATTATTTATGTAGTATTTTAAATCTGTGAGTAAGTGTTCACAAATCCTTTGGCTTCACCTTTCAGTTAACTTTTTTTTGATTCAAAGATAGAGTTCTGCAATAAAATCCAGTAATCCATCCATAATATTAAAGAGTTTGCACTTGAATAGAAAAACACGTCTTCCAGGGACAATTTTTCGTGAAAGAAACTGGTGCTATGCAAATAATAAACTGGGATCCGAACATCTTGAACTTCAACTATTTCCTATCTCTGTTGCCTCAGCTGAGCACTGAGTCCTGGCCCTTTCCTCATTTCAAAGCAACTTAACTCCTACTGTTGGCAGGCACTACAAGAATGCTGGAATTTTGAGGATATGGAAGTGTCAGAGAAAGCTGTTACACTGTGCTTCAAGAAAAAGCTGTTATACTGTGCTTCAAGAATCTGCCCTAAACACAGACAGGGAATGACACTCTGGAATGAAAGCCAAGTGGGAACACCCGGGATAGAACTGACCAGCCATGGGCAGCAATAAGAAGGTCACTGTGATTCATTTGGGGAAGCTAACCCTCCCTGTATAGCTCACTAAAAAGATGCACCTAAGAGAGTGTTTGCTTTTATTTGTTACCTTTATTTTTTTAACATTTATTTATAATTGGTGTGTGTGTGTGTGTGTGTGTGTGTGTGTGTACAACTTACAGAGTCAGTTCTCTCCTGCCACTGTGTAGGTCCCCAGGATCACCCTTACCTACTAAGCCATCTCAAGGGCACATGTACTTGCTTTCAAAACAGTTTTGACAAAACATTTACCAGGTTCCTTTCTTGGAACTGTTTCAGAGAAATAACAATAAATAAATTTGTTCTTGTTTGTTGTTGCTGTTCTATATGCATATGTGAGTTGTTCGTGTGTGTGTGTGTGTGTGTGTGTGTGTGTGTGTGTGTGTGTGTGTGTGTTCTCATGTACATGAGTGTGGTATTTGTAGATGCCTGCAGAGGCTAGAGGCCATCAGGTGTCCTGCTCCACCTTCCTCTGCCTTATTCCCTTGAGACAGGGTCTCTCCCCAACCCTGGAACTAGGTTTAGGCTAGTGGACAGTAGCAAACAGGCATCTTTACCACCACCCCACCCCACCCCCACCTGCAAACCTGCATCACCCAGGTTACAGCTTCTAGTGTCACCTGGGTTACAGCTGCATTCATGCCTGCCTTTTTAAATGGATGCTGAAGAATCAAACTATCGAAAGCACTCTTACCCACTAAGCCATCTGGCCAGCTCTTTTTCATTCTTTCGCTATTTGTGTGGTTCTGGGGACCATCCATGTGCTTTGGCCAGCACTCAAACCCTGAGCTACATTTTCAACCTTGCAATTTTTTCTTTCTTTCTTTTTCCTTTTGAGACAGACTAAATAAAAGTATGTTCTCAGGGCTGGAGAGAGCTTAGCAATTGAGAGCACTGGCTGCTCTTTCAGAGGACTTGAGTTCAGTTTCCAGCACCCACATGGTGGCTCACAACCTTCTGTTACTCCAGTTCTGGTGCCTTCTGCTCTCCATAGGTGCCAGGCACTTGCAAGTGGTACACACACCACACACACACACACACACACACACACACACACACACACACACACACACACACACACACCAAACACCCACACGTGTTTAAAAAAAATTTAGAAAAATAATTTTTTCTTTCATTTTTTTTTTCTTGACTGTAGAAAGTTCTTGATGATTTTTGGAAAGGGTGATACAAAAGAGCAGTCTGGAAACATACTTACAGGTGATGATATTTAGAGGGAGGATGTGGCAGGAAGACTAGTTAGACTCTTTCTGTAGTGTGAGTATGAGAAAAGATGAAGGCAAAAGCGAGGGTGGAAAACAAGCGACAACCAATCCCAGAAATGATGATGATGATGATGATGATGACGTAGCTCTTAGTGTCCTGCGGCATTATCCCACTCACTCCTCACAACTCGGAGACAGGGAGTGCCATCCTTCTGCACCAGAAGCTGCCCCATCCCATCCTGTAGCCTCACGTAGGGTGCTTAACCTCTCTGAGGCTCAGTTTCTTAAAAGTATGGTATCTCCCTGTGTATATCTAGCTTTTCCATATGGAAATCAGTTCCTGTAGGGCAGAAACTACATGTGTCTTAACACATAGCCCAAACATACTGGTCCCTGATTTATTCTTGAAAATATTAGTATCCTGATCTGCCATAACCATCTGGTACAAGCCTAGCCATTAGGAATGCAGCCATCCACTTTCATCATGGCTGCACTCAAGAAGTTGGATAAAGCCATCAACACACACACACACACACACACACACGCACGCGCACGCGCATGCGCACGCACACACACGCACGCACACACACGCACGCACGCACGCACGCACGCACGCACGCACACGCGCACACACACACACACACACACACGCAC